TGAGGGGACGGCCCCCGGCATGGGCAACCACGGGCACCAGGCGAGAGCCCGGGGCAGCAGCCGGAGGCGGCCGGGCCCGCGGCCGGGGCGGTGGGGTGGGGGTCTGCAGCTCCGCTTGGGCCCCCTCCATGCCCTTGGCTCGCGTGGTCTTTGCCAGGGGCTTCTGGTGTTTCAGCCGCCTGTGGAGTCAAAGATGCAGAGAAACGTGTGGCGATTGCCACCAGCCCTCACCATCCCCAGCAGGAGGGCCTGGGAGCTCCCGCAAGGGCGGTCAGGGCGGTGTGAGTGCTGAGGAGCCGGGGGTTTGCGCATCCTTAGCCAAAAATCTGAGCTGGTGCTGTTAGAGAAAGGGACTTTAAACTCAAATGATGCTCTGGAAATATGGAAGTGACTTTAAACATATGCTGAGAGAATACGAATGATGAGACAGAAAGGACTTGATTCTCTGTTGACTCTCAGTTCAGCAGTGACAAATGCCAGCAGCACACGCTCCTGGTGAAGCTGTCACCAGCCACAGCCGTGACAAACCTGCCTTCAAAAGGGTGATGTGAGGGCAGAACCCAACACTGTCCTTTGGATCATCTGCTCAGCAGCTCTGGGTGCCTCTGCAGGGACCCCACAGCCCCCGAGCCTCCTCCTGCCCTGGGAATGGCTCTCCGTGAATCTCCCCGTGGGTCGATTCTGACAGGTTTCCCCCAGAAATGTGAGAGCCCCGGGCAGGGCACGAGGAGCAGCGAGGAGCCCTGAGTGGTGACTCAGTTCTCTCGCTCCCACTGACAACACCTCTGTGAGAGTGGAAACTGCTCTTCCCTCAGCAATTAGCCACTCTACTCCTGCCTGTCCTAAATGAGTGCTTTGCTTATTTTTAACCTGGTAAAGAGGTTTCCTACTTTCCGTGACGTACTCGCTGCTATTTCTGTTCCCTGGCTGCTAAATCTATTAAGAAGGGGAATACCTGCAAATTGTTTTGAAATCTCCTTAAAGCCTTTGAGGGGAATCACCAGATCCCTACCAGCTCACCAGCTCTTTTTGTCACTCATTTCTCCAGGGCAGATGCCCAATGCCTGAAAGGCTGGACCTCAGCACACAGCGGTTATTGCTGCTAGGAAACCTCAGTCCACTTTCTCCAGGGGATAAAATAATGGGATTTTGACTCCCGAAAAGCAGATTTTATACCACCACAGCCATTTCAGTGAGGTTTGTGCACCCCTGTTCCCAAATTAGGCTGTTCAGAAGCTGCTGTTTTCACACAGGTGTGTGCTGGTAGCTCCTGGCCATTTTCACTTGGAGGAGACAAGCACCCACACGACTGTGCTGCTGCCTGTGCACCCACCCAGCAGGAGCACGAAGTCAATATTTGGGGCGTGGAGGGCAGGCTGGAGCTCCTTGGCAGCCCATTGCCAAGTCATGCAGACCCAGCCAGGACGAGCGAGCCTGGCTGGGCACGGACCCCACAGACCCTGCAGTGCCCGCAGGTCCCGAGCCAGGCGTGCCCAGCCCTGGCTCTGCTCTGCCCCGGGGCTGCCCCCGGCTCCTGCTCGCCTCTGGGGCACCTGGAGCTCTGCAGGAACCTCCTCCCTGCCCGGCTGAATGCACCTGCTTGCGTGAGCCCTGCCTCGTGGAGGGCAAGCACCAGCTTAAGGTCCTGCTGCTATTTCTGGCCCTGCCAGCGCTCGTGCCTGAATGAAGAGCCCCACTAATCCTATTGCACCCGTTCCTACGTAGAGACATCCCTAATCCCTCCCAAACTGCCTGGTGTCCATCAAAGCCCAGGGAAAGCTGGCTCAGTCATCAGGGAAGCAGGAAGGTTTCAGAGGTGCTCCCTGGGGAGGGAGGAGTTCCCTGGGCAGCTGCCAGAGCCTGGCTGCCAGGGCTGCCCACCCTGAGCCATCCCAGAGCCATCCCACAACCATCCCAGAGCCATCCCAGAGCCATCCCACAGCCATCCCAGAGCCATCCCAGAGCTATCCCAGGATCCATCCCAGAGCCATCCCACAGCCATCCCAGAGCCATCCCACAGCCATCCCACAACCATCCCACAGCCATCCCAGAGCCATCCCAGGCCACCAAGTGTGCTTTGCCCTGAGCTCTCGGCTCCACGGGGCACAGCACTGATGGGATTTGCACAGCAGGGATGGGATGAAGCATCTCCCTGCCATCACTGCGACCTTGTCACCCTGGGCAGGGACCTGCAGCCCACAGAAGGGGCCGTGGTGGGACAGTGACCCTGCTGCCAGCTGTGAGCCTGGGACACCCACCTGAGCTTGTCTCAGGATGGAGGCCCTGCAGGTGGGACTGCCTGGAGCAGAGGCAGGAGCCAGCACTGCCCCTGGGCAGGGCTGCTAGTCAGGGCTGGCACTGTGACCTCAGAATGCCAGGCCAGGACACCACGGGGTGTCACCTGGGTCTGGATGTCACAGGGCTGCAGAGGAGTGCAGGGGCTCAGCCATGGGGACAGGATCTACAGCCCTGGGAGCACCTTGGGCAGGGCCAGGCTCTGCAACACTAACCCAAAATCTAACCCCTAACCCTGACCCTGACCCCCTGGCCACAGTGGCACGAGCTGCTCCTCTGTCCCCAAGAGCTGTTTGCTGTTCTGCAGGCACACCTGAAGTTTCTCCTCACGTCCCTTCCTCCTCAGCTCTGGCCCTCGCTGCCCTCGCTGCACAATCCCTGTCACACCTGCGAGTGCAGCAGGAACCTCCACACCTGAGGGTGCAGCTCCTCACCCTGATGTGGAAGCAGATTGTTCTGGGATGTTTACCTGTATTGGGATCAAAGGCAGCCTCACACTGTGCTGTGTTACATCACAGCAGTGCTCACATGGCTCTTTCTATGCCATAAAATCTGCTGGAGATCTTCCAAGTGCCCTCCTGAGCTTTGTGCCCAGCCCAGCCCACCAGTCCCTTTGGCAGTGTGGCCTCAATCACGCAGGAGTGACCGCTGTCCTTCCTGGAAAACACAGCCCGGGCACTCAGCTTGGCAGCTGCCCTGTGTCTGTGGGGTTTGCACTTCTCAGAAGGCAGCAGCACAGCCAGGCTGCTGCTCGAGCTGCCCCTGAGCTGCTCCTGCCCTTCTGCGGGGAGGTAAAGAACAAACACCTTTCATCAGGAGCAAGCAGATGGGAGTGAGCACAGGAGCCCTGGCAGAACGCTCCAGCAGCTTGTGCTGCCTGGGATGATAAATGCACCTCGAGATGCCTCCGTGGTGTTTTCCTGGCACCCAGGCCGAGGTGGGAGCGTTGCTGGGGGTGGCAGGGCCGGGCTGTGGCACCCCCAGCCCCGGGGCCCCGGAGCTCCCCGAGTCCCCCCTGCTGCCATGACCAGCCCCTTTGAAGCCTCCTTGCTCTAACGAGACTTTGTGGGACACCTTTGTGCTCTCACTCCACTGGATTTTATTGGCTTGGCCACTGCAGCTATGTTCCCTTTTTATTTTTTTTTTTCCTAAAGAGAAATAAAATTTATTATAAAACATGTTGAGATATCAAAGACTTAGCTGACTTCTTGCTGTCAGTGGCTGTCAGTCTGTCTGTCTGTCAGTCTGTCTGTCTGTCTGCAGCGCCGTTTCTGTCTCACAAGCAGCACTTAAGATAACTGTCAGGACAGTCATTAATTGCAGGCCTGGAGCAGGGCACAGAGCCGCCCCTCGGGCTGCTCCGGGTTAAACCCCCCGGAAAATCCTTTAAAGTATTACAGCTCTGCTAGCACAGCCACAGATTGAATTCTACACTTCCATTCTCCTTTTCCGTCCCCATTTCCCATTCATGATTCACTTTATTTAAGTGCTGCCTCATACCTGTGCCACGATTAGACTTCTCTTTTGGACTATCATAACAGTGCTCATTTTCCATTCTTCATGGGGAATTTAATGTGTTGCTTTAATTTGTTCTTTAAAGCAAAAAAGGAAATGCTTTTCACAAGAAAAGCATAATTTCAAAGTAATTAAAGTTATATTTGTCACTGAAAAAAATGAATCTATATTGTTTTGACTCTGAAAACTTGGTGGAGATAGAAAGAGGTGAAAGATCTTAACCTGAAGTTGGAAGCTGTGTTTCAGAGTTAATATTTTGACAACTATTTTGGGTTTAAAGTTCTCCAGAATTCCCTGCATTTATTAGTATCCAATGTTACTCATTAACTCTCAATTTTTACTTGCATGGCACAAAAAATCATTACCGGTGCTAGAACTCTCAATTTTTATTTGCATGGCACAAAAATCGTTACCAGTGCTGGAAATTTGCTTTTGTACCTGAACCTGGGGATGTTTTGGGGTAAGTCCCAGTGCTTTGCGGGTTTTGCATCCGAAGCAGCGAGCCTCGGAGCCGCCCGGGCTCCCCGCGCGTTTCTGGCCCGGCGGGAGCTGAAGGGACGGAGAGCACGGGAGGGTTGGAAGGGCAGAGCCCGGTGGGCGCGGGTGTCGAGGGTAGGGAAGGCTGCCGGGCACAGGGCTGGGCAGCGGAGCGGGCTCAGCGGAGCTCGGAGCGCCCGGGCGGCGCTGCCCTGGCGGGCTCGGGGCTGTGCGGGGCCGGCAGCCGCCCCGGGACCGGCAGCCGCTCGCCACCGCGGCTCCCGGGGCCGGGTTCTCCGCTCTCCACCGCGGCTCCCGGAGCCGGGCTCGCCGCTCGCCACCGCGGCTCCCGGGGCCGGGTTCTCCGCTCGCCACCGCGGCTCCCGGGGCCGGGTTCTCCACTCGCCACCGCGGCTCCCGGGGCTCCCGTGGCTCCCGGGACCGGCAGCCGCTCGCCACCGCGGCTCCCGGGGCCGGGTTCTCCGCTCGCCACCGCGGCTCTCCGGGCCGGGCTCTCCGCTGGCCACGGCGGCTCCCGGAGCCGGGTTCTCCGCTCGCCACCGCGGCTCCCGCGGCTCCCGTGGCTCCCGGGGCCGGGCTCGCCGCGGCCGCGCCGGTCCCGGAGCGGCGGCACCTGGCGGAGGGCGGGCCGGGGGTGGGGCATCCCCGCCCTCCGGAGCCGCTCGGCCCCGGCCCCGCCGCCGCCGGGGATGCCCGGCCCGGAGCGCGGCGGCAGCGCCCGGCTCGGCCAGGATGAAGAAGCACCAGGCGCACTCGGTGCAGGGCACCTTCAGCCGCCTCTTCGGCAAGCGCCACTCCGGCCCCGGCGCCGCCTCGCTCTTCGCCACCAACCCGCCCTGGATCTTCACGCAGGAGGTGACCTCGGACAGCGCGGGCGGCACCGGTCAGTGTCCCCGGCGGCGCGGGGCTCGGGGCCGGGCCGGGGGCAGCAAGGGTCGGGGGGCTCCGTGCTGCCCGCGGGGAGCGCTCGGTGCCCCGGGACGCGGCAGCGCCGTCCCCGAGCCGTGCCCCGGGCCGGGCGCTGCGCTCCCGCCGAGTTAAACTCGGCTCAGAGAGGATGAAAATTGGTTTTATTGCTTCCCGTCGCGCTTTCCCACGCCATGTTTGAGCTGCGCCTTCCCAGGTTGGAGTTATTTACTCATAAACCTGTTTCTCGCAGGGCTGTGAGCGAGGAGGGAGCTGAGGGTTGCATATTCTTCGGGATTTATTTGTGTTTCTCTGTGGTTTTAATTGCAATACGGTGCCCTGCAGGCCCATGTAGGAGGGAGCCAAATTAATAGTAATGGAGCCAGGTAGATAGAAGATAGCAGCTTGTGGATGAAGTTTGGTGGCTGTAAGAGCCCAACAAACTCTTCCAAGATTAAAAAAAAAATGGAAGTGCTGCCTGCTGAGCTGTGCAGGGTGAAGTATTGTCTGTGAAAGCAACTGCGAGGTGGTTACACCCCAAAGGCCAAGCTGCTGAAACCAAGATAAAATGAAAATGTGACGGGGAGTTTCATGCAACTCTGCAACCTAGAAGGAAAATTGCTGATTTCTAACTGTCGTAAATCTGAGGAGGGTTCAAGCTTCTCTCTGATGTGGTTTGGATTAGAAAAAAGAAAAGAAGTTGCTGTGTCTGCTTGTTAGGAGCCTGATTGCCGTGGCTGTGTTCCTGCAGTGCGAAAGCTTTCTGCTCAGGTGTGGGGCAGACTGCAGGGGGAGAGCCGGGAATCCCGAAAGCTGAGCCCAAGGAGCACCTGGGGAATCGCTCCTCAGCATCCTCCGGGCGTTTCTGCCGAATTTGGCTTGGTGGGGGTGCAGGGGCAGGGGGACAGTGGGACATGGTGGCAGCGGGGTGAGGGGGGCCAGCAGCCCGAGGGACATCAGCCCAGGGACATCACCCAGAAGGGGCCAGCAGCCCGAGGGACATCAGCCCAAGGGGGGCCAGCAGCCCGAGGGACATCAGCCAAGGGACATCACCCAGAAGGGGCCAGCAGCCCGAGGGACATCAGCCCAAGGGGGGCCAGCAGCCCGAGGGACATCAGCCAAGGGACATCACCCAGAAGGGGCCAGCAGCCCGAGGGACATCAGCCCAAGGGTGCAGCAGCCCCAGCTCCAGCTGTGCTGTCCCCAGCCCACACACAGCTCGTCCTGCCGGGGCAGCCCCAGCCCTGGCCCTGTTTCTGGGACATTTCCTGCAGGGCTCCGTGCCTGGAGGAGTCCCCTGCTCCTGCCGATCCCCACCTTGGTTTCTCATACAAAGTAAACACAAGTTGGGCAATGTGCAATGGGTGTAGGTTTGCATGTCCCTGACTCAGAGATTCCTGAATATAGTGACTGATTCCTCCTCCTCCTCCTCCTGGGAGCTGTGGATACCCCGGCTCAAACCTGCTGCACCTCCTCCAGGTGATGCAACCCCCGGGGAGGAAGAAGTTCCATTACATGCGTGGCAAATTGTTTCTTTAATTTCCCATGGCGAGCAAACACGAATGTCTCCGGGACAGGCTGAGTGGCAGCAAGTGGCCGAAGCAAGGCCAGTGCTTGGAGGCAGCTGCTTCCCAGAGCTTCCAAGGGTGCATTTCCTGCTGCCTCCTTCCAGGAAAGGAGGCTGGCAGAGCTCAGGTCCTGCTGCTGATGAGCTCCCAGCAGGCAAGTCCTGTTTATCTAGCAGAGAAAACACAACTACAAGCACTTCATTTTCCTTTAATTAAAGCATTCAGGGTAGCGATGCTTAGTAATCTAGGATCAAAGTCCTTGTGATCTTTAATCCAGTTTCTCATTGGGTTTACCTAGTGACTTGTTAAATAGGAAACTCATCGTTTCAAGTCTCAGAACTACTCTGTCGCTGCTCAGGCTGTCTGAGTCCAAGCTCTCCTGTTGCCTTGGCCTTAATTCCTGCTCTTTACTCACAAAATTAATCATCACAGAATCACAGAGTGGTTTGGGTGGAAAGGGACCTTAAAACTCATCTCATTCCACTCCCTGTCATGGGCAGGGACACCTCCCAAGCCCAGGCTTGGGTCAGGCTGCTCCAAGCCCCATCCAGCCTGGCCTTGAACACTTCCAGGCACTTTACTGGCACCTCTATCCTCTCTGGGACTCCAGCAGCTCCTCCTGAGTGCTTTTGGGCCCCTCCCAGGCAGGGAAGTGCTAAAGTCTTGGTAGGAGCAGGCTGGCTGAAGCACAGCTGATTGGCGATTTGAAAGCTGGAGAAAATGTCCTTTGGGAAAAGAATCACTTGTAGTGGGAGAAGTTTGGTGTGAGGGAGGGGAAGCTGTGGCTGCTTGGAAGGGCAGTGATAGCAAGGCAGATACTCCTGGAGGTGGTGAGTGAGAGAAGGGAGAGGCTGAGGTGCTTCTGGGCCCTGTGGTGTGTTTGAAGGCTGTGTGGAATTCATCTGCCTCCAGTCCCTCAGCAGAGGCTGTGCTGCCTCATGCCCAGCCCCTGCTGTGGTTTCTCCATTCCAGGTGTTCATGCAAGTGATTTCCTTCTGGGGGATGCACACAGAGGCATTTGCCCTCCTCCTTTTTCTCTAGAGCTGGTGTAAAGTTTCCCTTGGAGCTTCCTTCTGATTTCTGCCCATCCTTCTTCTTCTCCCCGCTCCCTCACTATCAGAGTCTGCTGTTGGGAGCACTCCTGCAGCTTCCCCTTCCATCACAGCCATGTTGTTGCTTCCCCCTCCTTCCTCAAGCCCTCTGATTTTCTTTCATGTCGGTCTCCTTGGCTACGAGTTATTTGTGTATCTCCTTCCAGCCAAGGTGGGGTTTACGTGCTTCAGTATTTCTGCTTGTTAATTCATGCTGCTAATCAGACACAAAGAACGTAATTAAATTAATTTTATGAGCTTTATTCACTGTCAGAAATAAACCGGCCCAAGAGGTGTGGTTCAAGGTGAAAGCACAAGGCTGGGAACCAGGAATTCCTGACGGCTCCTCCTGCTTGTCACAGCAGGGCCCTGGGACTTCCTGCCCTGCTGTGTCCCCTGTGCACGGCAGCATCCTGTGGGAAGCCACCAAAGCAGGCTGGAGTGTGCGACTTGTGAAGCACCTGAATTGCCTCTGCCTTGGATGCACCTGGAATTCCTCTGCCTTGGATGCCAGTGCTGTGCCCACAGCGTGCTCACTGAACAGGAAGGGCAGGAGCTGTCCCTGTGCTGCTCAGCTCTGCTGCTGCCTGCCCCTCAACTCCAGCTGCTCAGAGCAGCCAGGATTGCCCCCTGCTCCTCCTGAGCTGCTTCAGTTCGTCCTGCAGAGCTCAGGGAAGGCTCTGTGTGCTCAGCCAGGATTGCCCCCTGCTCCTCCTGAGCTGCTTCAGTTCGTCCTGCAGAGCTCAGGGAAGGCTCTCTGTGCTCAGGCAGGATTGCCCCCTGCTCCTCCTGAGCTGCCTCCCTTCATCCCACAGAGCTCAGGGAAGGCTCTCTGTGCTCAGCCAGGATTGCCCCCTGCTCCTCCTGAGCTGCTTCAGTTCGTCCTGCAGAGCTCAGGGAAGGCTCTCTGTCTCTGCAGCTGTGTGACAGGGCTGTGAGTGCCTGTCCTGCACACAGGGGACCTTCCTCTCCTGTCTTCCACTCAGCTCCAGGCCAGCCAGGTTTTCCTCTGGGGCTGATGGGCTTTGCCCAGTGCCGGGAGCTGCTGCAGCAGGTTCTGCCCAGCTCTCTGAGCTGCCAGGGTGCCCGTGCTGTTTGCACCGGTGCCCAGGCTCGGTGCTGCTCACGGTCTGCTGTCCCCTCTCCCCTCAGGTGATGTGATCGAGGTCTATTACGGTGACAATCGCTTCGGGACGGTGACAGACTCCGGCACTGCCACGCTCAAGCCCCGTCCCAGGGTCCGGCCGCTGCTGACCTTCCTGCCCCTGGTGAGTGCCCAGTCGGGGCTGGAGCTGTGCCCGGAGCAGCCCCTGCCCGAGGGAGGGCAGAACTGGACAGCAGAGCCCCTCTGTACCAGGGACTGGGAGGTGATCTGAGTTCAGGCTGGTCTGACACAGCCCAGGACTGGGGGAGAGGTGTGAGCACCGTCAGATTTGCATTTTCAATTAAAAAGTAATTGCTGAGCACGGAGATGACAGATGGGGCTTGCAGTGCAGTTTATCTCCCGGTGCTGCCAGGATCTGCCCCAGGATCAGTTGTGTTGCTGGAGCAGCAGTGCTGAACCCAGTCCTGCTGCAGCAGAGAAATGAGGTGATGCTGTGGCTGTGCCAGGATGATTCTTTTCAATTTCTGTATGAAAAACCATTCCCTGCAGAGCCACCAGAGCTGCAGCAGCAGCAGAACAGCCAGAGCAGAGGGCCTGGGGTGGCTGTACCTCCAGAAGCCAGGCTTGCTCATGGCTGGCTGTGAGGAACCCCATGCAGCACTTCCCAGAGGTTTTATCCCCTAAAGAGCTCAAAGGGGCACAGCACTCACAGAATCCAGGGTATGGGCTGGAGGGAACCTTAAACTCATCTTGTTCCACCCCTGGCGCTAGGGCAGGGTGCTCAGAGAGGATCTGGAGGTGTCAGGACCTAAAGGCAGTGATACCCGCAGGTCAGAGAAGACAGTAAAATCCTAAATCCTTTGGTCAAGACAGGGAGATCTCTGCTAATGGGATGTGAGTGGTGGAGGGGTTAACAGCAGGAATGCCCCCGGGACAAATCCTCAGGGCTGTCACCCAAACCCTGGTGCTGCTGCTGCCCATGGAGGCACAGCTGGCCCTGGGGCTCTTCTTCCCTCCGGGGGGTCCCTCACAAACCTGGGCTTCTCTGCACTACCAGCTTTAACTGAGGAATTGGTAGGAAAAGGCAGCGTTTTGAAGGCCCAGTGCATGTTGGATGTCTGCACGCTCTTGGCGAGGTTTGACCATGATTTGATCTGGCACAGACTCTTCTGCTGCCACGTACATACCTGCCCCAGGTACACACCTGCGCGGGGCTGTTCTGCAGCTCCTGCCTTAACCCTTTCCCCACCCAGCGAGCAGCTCCGGGTGAGTCAGGAGGATGCTCACGCCCTGCCCCACGGCCCCTGTGCCTCTGCACCTGGCAGCCCTTCCCACTCGAGCAGCCTGGGCTGGGGAGCAGCCTGGGCTGGGAGCAGCCAGGGCTGTCCCAGCAGGGCTGCGGAGAGGTGTCCCCCCATGTCCCCCCACTCCCCAGCACTGCAGCACCCCGGGGAATCCATTCCTTCAGCAAACCACCGCCCTGCCCCAGCTCAGAAACAAGGAGTCTGGGGGCAGCTCTTCATTCCCAGAGACGTTCCTGGCCTCTCTGAGACCCCAGGGTGCTCAGTAGTTGTGTTTTGGGGTGGCTTTGTAACAGGCAGCCTCAAACCTTGGCCATTGAATGGGTGGGCTGCTGAGAGCCCGGGGAACTGGGGACAGGCAGGCTGCCTTCCCTGGGGACGGCTGAGTCTGTTCCAGGGATGAAAAGTGATTCCTGGTGGTTACAGTGAAAGCTTCCCCCCTCAGGATCCTCAGCGGGCACAAATCTGATTCAGGTACCACAAACTGGAAATGCAGGTTCCTGGCACAGCACCCAGAGCCTGCCCGGAATCAGCTGGAGGTTTTCTGGGCTGGCCACACCCGAGCAAACACCGGCAACAATCTGCCCAACCATCTCTGCAGACTGGCAGCATGCTGGGGATGCTTTCCATCTTAGAAGCCAGCTCATGACGTGGGGATGGGTGGTTTTTAAGAGATGCTGAGCATTAGTAACTGCCACAGAAGGTTTTGGTGACGAACAGGCTTGCCCGGTTTGAAATGACACGTCCAAAATTCCTGCTCCTTTATGAAGTGCAGCTGTGTCCTGCAGCTTTGCACTGCTCTCTTCTGACTGCCAGTCCCTTTGCACTCCTCCAAAGAGGTGATGCATGTGCTGCAGAGCTCAGACATCTCTGTTTGCCTGCAAACCAGCAGCTGCCCTGGGGCAAACCTGCAGCCATGGATTTCCATGGCAAATGGGAACTGCCGCGGTTTGTTCTGTGTGATTTTGGTAGCTCATTGCTCTGGACAATTTAACTATCAGCTCTTCAAGTGCCTCTCTTTGTCTTCCCTCTGGCTCTCAGGTGAGGCTCAGGATCTGCCCTCATGCCTTTGCAGCCCTTGGCTTCTCCATCAGCACGGAGTTGTCTGGTCCTTTGTGCAATGCCAGGGGTACGAATTCCCTCACTCCTGGGTCACCTGTAACTGCCTCATTCCCTCGTGGTTATAGGGGATCTTTGGTCATCTGCAGGGCAATGCATGTACCAAGTGAAATATGTGCATTTTCCTATTATTTTGGCCAAAGCTGGGGCATCCCAGGGCTCTTCCACAGGAGCCCAGGTGCTGCTGTTGAATCAGCTCTGCCCCAGCAGCTGCCGAGCTCCCAGCCAGGGCAATGTAGCTGGGATGTGTCTGAGCCTGGATGGGGCTGATGGACAAATCCAACTGACCTTTGAGCCAGGAGACTTTGGAATCCCGTGGCAATCTGATGTAAAAATGGTGATAAGGGCAGAGAAAGGCAAAGGGCAGGAGCTCAATCATTATCCAGGCTTTTGTGTGCAGGAAATGGCCGGGGAGAGGCGCAGGCTGATGGCAGGATAGCATTTCCTTTGTCGAGGGCTGTCAGCAGGAATGCAGCGGGGTGGATGTGCAGCCTGGGAACGGGACTGTTGTCCCCAGCACTGCCCGTGTCGTGTCCCTCGCTGGACGCTCCCTCGGAGCTCTGCATCCCTGTGACACTGCCCGGAGCCACCGCAGCCCCTCAGAGCCGCCGTGAGCCAGGGGCAGGCGAGGCTGCTGCTGCAGGTGAGGGGGTCGGCCTGCCCGTGTCTCACCGGCGGCTGCCATCACCCGCAGTGCCCTCCCTGGGCATCCCCCAGGTGTGTAGGCTGCCAAATTGCCGGTCCTGCGCCAGCCGAAGGCACTGCTGAATTCTCAGCATGAACGCGGAGGGAGCAATTGCCAGCAAAACACAAACCACCCAAGGAGCAGTTTCCCCAGGGTGCTCAGATGTGCTGGTGCCAGTTTCCCCAGAGGCTGGAGCTCTGTGTGTGCGTGACTGGCAGTGCTTGCTGCAGAGAAATTCCCACCAGGGCACCCACCGATGCCAGGGGAGCTGCTCAGGGCACTGGGAGCAGCCTCAGGGAGGTGTGAAATATCTGAATTCCTCTCCAGGGTGGCTGGGCAGCCCCAGGGCGGTGTGACATACCTGAATTCCTCTCCAGCCCTCACACCTGACCACTGGGAATTGTGTCCATGGCCTGTGCTGCCCTGATCACTTCACTCATCCCCTCAAACCTGCCAGCCACAGCTTCCACAGGGACCTCCGTATCACCCACACTGCCCTGAATCCCATCAGGGCTTGTGTGGACAAATTACCAGCTGCTTGTCAGCCCTTCGCTCTGATCCTGGCTGTAAGACTGACAGCTCTGTTTTCTCAACTCCTGCAGAACGCCCAAGAATCCCATGGGGTGGCTGTGCCAACACCGTCGGTGCCAGAAGACTTTGTGGAAAAGGCAGCTCTTGGTAAGGGATGTTCTCTGTGCAGTCCTGGCCAGCACCAAGCGCTCACCGAGCCCTCAGGGCAGGAAGCGTGTGTGTACCCAGCTCCAGAGCAGACAGTCTGCTCATCTATTTTCATGCTGAAATAGAGTCTGTTATTAATTATTTTTTGAAGTCATTGAAAATTAATTAATTCCTAAGGGGTGAGGCAGAGTGGCTGTTACAGTTCAGGAAGTTTTAGACAAGCCAGGCTGGCTCAGCACTGATGGAGAGGTCTCACAGGGCTGTGCTCTCGCTGCTCTTGCAGGCTCTGGCTCCCAGCTCAATGGCAACTACCGGATGTACAGCTCGGCGGGGGACCTGCGCCCGCAGGCCCTCGATGGGGATGAGCTGGACGAAGACATCCCCCCACCACCATCGGTACCCCCGCCACCCCCTCCGGCGCCCGTGTCACCCCCTCTGGCCTCGCCGGTCCCTCCACCCCCCGAAATGCTGCCACCGCCGCCGCCACTGCTCCCTGAGATGGTGCCACCACCACTGCCCCCCGAGATGGTGCCACCACCACTGCCCCCCGAGATGGTGCCACCGCCTCCTGCCACGGCAGCCCCGCCGCCTCCCGCCTCTGCCCTGCCCTCCCCCAGCACTCCGGCTCCTCCAGACTTCATCCCGCCAGCCCCGCCGGGCGCCCGCGACCCCCTCGGCCCCGGCCTGTCCAAGTGGAAGTCCGAGACGGTGCTGAACACGCGGCAGGCGGAGGCCGAGGGGCCGCTGTGCCCCGCCGAGGCCGGGGCGCCCGCAGCCCCCAGCCCCAAGGAGAGCCTGCAGCCCAAGCCCGAGCCGCACCTCACCTTCCCCAGGTCCTTCAAGGTGCCGCCGCCGGCCCCGGCGCGCTCCTCGTCCATCCCGGTGCAGGAGGGCCAGCGTGGCCAGCGGGAGCCCGTGCCCAGGCAGCCTCACGCCCGGCCGGCCCTGCCACCCTGCTTCACCATCCGAGCCGCGGGCAAGACGCGGCCGGGAGAAGGCGAGCAGAGGGGTTCCGGGCTCAGACAGGGCGCTGGGAAGCCGCCTGTGCCCCCTCCACTGAGCCCCAAGCCGGGCCCGGGGCTCGGCCAAGCGGTGACTCCCACCGGGCGCCGGTCCCCTCTGCCGGGCGCCGACGGGGAGAAGATTCCTCAGCTGAAAACAGCCGGGAGAGACTCCCCTCCGAAATCGGAACCTCTCACTGCGAACGACCTGGATCTGCCTCCTCCGGACTACCCGACCTGCGAGGATGACTGGAAGGATGCCAACAACCTGAACAAGCTGCGGGACGAGCTCTCGGCCCTGCTGCGCTCCCCGCGCCGGGAGGAGAGGCCGCCGGAGAGGCGGGGGGCTCCCCGGCCCGTGGACAGCGGTCCCAGCCACGCTGGCAGCCGTGAGCCGGGGCTCAGCGAGCCCCAGCCCGCCAGGAAGGACACGGGCTTATCCAAGGGAGGGGAGAGTGAGAAGAAAGAGGCGCCCAGCAGCCCCCCCAGCACCACTGCGGGCTCTCCCAGCGCTGCAGTCACTGCCCCGGAGAGCAGCCCTGACACACAGCCCCGCAGTGTGATGACAATCAGGAACGAGCTGGAGGCTGTGCTGTCCCTGAAGAAAGAGGGGAAACCTGCCCCAGGGCTCAGCAGCCAGAAACAGGGTGTGGAGAATGGCATCAGCACCCCACAGGTGAGGAAGAGCCCCCCTGACCTGAGGAAGAGCTCTCCTGGCACGAGTGACCCAGTGGTGCCAAAACCAGTGCCCAGCCCACTCCCAGCCCCGGCGACTGCTGTGGAGAAGGATGAGACACATCACGAGGAGCATCCTGCTCCTGCTGCTGCCAAGGTCACAGAGGACGTGAGCCCTGCTCCTGGGTCCCTCAACAGCAGCGTGAGTCCCCCAGAGCCACCCCAGGGACCGGCAGAGGAGCCCTCAGCTCTCAGCCCCTCCTCGGCCCCTGTGTCCCCTGCACAGAGCCCGGCACCACAGCCCAGCTCGGCCGTCTTCCAGTACAAAGTGCACCGGGCAGGGGCCAGCTCGGCCGAGCCGCCCTGTGCCCCGGGCTCAGCTGAGCCGCCCTGCCCCGGGAGCTCGGGCAGGAGCCCCCCGGACACCTCGGCAGCGGGGCAGGAGGAGGTGCTGATCCACCCGGTGACGGGGGAGCGCGTGGAGCGCGGCTCGCCCATGGCCCTGCTGCTGGCGGCCCGGCAGCGTGCCCAGCGCGGCCGCCCAGGTGGGGACGGGGCGGCCGCGCTCAGGGCGAAGCCAGCCCCGAGGCTCGGCAGTGCCTCGTCGGACACCGCCTCCCCCAGCTTCTTCCGCCACGAGTCCAAGCCCTTCTCCTTCACCGTGGTGCCTCGGCCGTCGGCGGCCGGAGCAGCGGGCTCCGGCGGGAGCAAAGCCCCGTCCTTCTCCAGCTCCTCGGAGCAGGGCCGGGACGCGCGGGCGGCGGGCCAGGCGCAGCCCCCCGGGCCCCGGCGAGCCGCGGCCTCCAGCCTGCTCCGGGGCCTGCTGGACTCGGGGCAGCCGAGCCGGCCCGGCCCGGCCCGCCACGGAGCGCCCAGCGAGGAGGAGAACGGGGACGCGCCGCTGGACTTCGGCATCATCCCCCCACCCCCCGAATTCAGCAACGAGGCGGACGAGGGTCCCCTCCCCAGTCGGGAGGAGAGCCGCAAGTGCCCCAGCGTCCCTGACAGCAGCCGGGGCTCGGGAGAGCCGCGCTATTACAGGTGGGCTGGCTACAGCCGCAGCTACGGGGGCAACCGGGAGGCAGCAGCTCCGCTGCCCTCGGAGAAGAGCTGGAGGAACGGCGACTCCACACCCCAGTACCCGGCTTACAGCAGCTCCACCGGTTTCCCCAGCCACGGCCCCAACCCGCGCCCGCTGATCAAGAAGCGCCTGTACATGTCGGAGCCCGACAGCTCCTACCCCCGGGCAGCCGCAGCCCCCCGGGCCTCGGGCACCCTCTCCTCCACCCTCTCCTCCTACGGCCCCGGGGGGTTCAGCTCCACGCCCGGGGAGGGGGCTCGCCGCCTGGGCCCTCCCCACAGGAACGGCCCCCCGAGCGCCCAGGGCCGCCGGGCGTCCACGGACGCGGCTGGGAAACCCACGGCGTACGGCGGCGCCGAGGCCAAGTTCAAGGGGCAGAACGGGGACTTCTCGCCCGCCAGCGTGCTGACAGCCAGCAGGTACGTGCCCCCCGAGCCCACCCCTCCCTGTCCTCGGTGTCCCTGGAACTGGGAGTGCCAGGGAAGGCGCTGCCCCTTGGCTCGGGCTCGCTCCCGGCTGCTGCTCAAGGGCAGCGATCGTTCACGGCTCCTCCCTGGTGCCAGCTGTGACCCCAGTGCCCACATCCCTCCCCACCTCCCTGGGGAGCAGGGAAACCCCTCACCGCAGCGGTGACATCCCTCACCGGAGCGGTGAAATCCCTCACCAGAGCAGGGAAATCCCTCACCGCAGCGGTGACATCCCTCACCGGAGCAGGGAAACCCCTCACCGCAGCGGTGACATCCCTCACCGGAGCGGTGACATCCCTCACCGGAGCGGTGACATCCCTCACCGGAGCAGGGAAATCCCTCACCCAAGCAGGGAAACCCCTCACCGCATCGGTGACATCCCTCACCGGAGTGGTGAAATCCCTCACCAGAGCAGGGAAATCCCTCACCAGAGCAGGGAAATCCCTCACCGGAGCGGTGACATCCCTCACCGGAGCAGGGAAATCCCTCACCCGAGCAGGGAAACCCCTCACCGCATCGGTGACATCCCTCACCGGAGCGGTGACATCCCTCACCGCATCGGTGACATCCCTCACCGGAGCAGGGAAATCCCTCACCGGAGCGGTGACATCCCTCACCGGAGCAGGGAAATCCCTCACCGGAGCGGTGACATCCCTCACCGGAGCGGTGAAATCCCTCACCAGAGCAGGGAAATCCCTCACCGCATCGGTGACATCCCCCACCGGAGTGGTGAAATCCCTCACCGGAGCAGGGAAATCCCTCACCGCATCGGTGACATCCCTCACCGGAGCAGGGAAATCCCTCACCGGAGCGGTGACATCCCTCACCGGAGCGGTGACATCCCTCACCAGAGCAGGGAAATCCCTCACTGGAGCAGGGAAATCCTTCACCGGAGCGGTGACATCCCTCACCCGAGCAGGGAAATCCCTCACCGCAGCGGTGATATCCCTCACCGGAGCAGGGAAATCCCTCACTGGAGCAGGGAAATCCCTCACCGCAGCGGTGAAATCCCTCACCAGAGCAGGGAAATCCCTCACCGCAGCGGTGATAGCCCTCACCGGAGCGGTGAAATCCCTCACCAGAGCAGGGAAATCCCTCACCGCAGCGGTGACATCCCTCACCGGAGCAGGGAAATCCCTCACCGCAGCGGTGACATCCCTCACCGCAGCAGTGACATTCCTCACGGGAGCAGTGACATCCCTCACCGGGTGCTGACAAGTGCCGGTGTGCCGGGCCGGCGCTGGCTGACCGCCCCTCCGTTCTCCCCGCAGGCCTGCCCACGGCACCTCGCACTACGGGGGACCCTCCAACACCTTCACGGTCAGGCCGGGCGCGCGCCAGCCCATCTCCTACGCCTACCAGAGCCACCGGTAGGCCGGGCTTTGGGCGGCCCGCGGCTGCCAAGGGGCGAGGAGGTGCCTGGCTTGGTCCTTTCCCTCTCCACGGGCACCAGGGACGGCCCCAAGCCAGCCTGAAAATGCACTCGCTCCACGCTGCTGACGGAGAAGGTGGGGAACGCGCCTGAGCCTGGACTTTTCTCAAAAGACTGCCACGGAGAGTTGTTACTGCGGAGGGCGGGCTGCTGCCTCGTTACGTGAGCAAACGTGGTTTCCCTCTTTCCCATTGTTCCTCCTGGGTTATTTTCACAATTGCAGCCTGATAGGCTGTCTAGAAAAGCCAAAGAGCATCCTCAACTCTCTCTAAAGAGCATCACCACTGGAAAGATTGATTTCGATTTGCTTTTTAATTGGTTTAACTCCAGCATGTTTGGGAGCAGGGAGAAACCAACTGAGAGATGTGCAGAATGGAAGCAAAGCAGTGTGTAGATAAATGTCAGGGATTAAAATAAGAATGTGAGGCCAGTGGGATAGAAGGAGAGTTTAGGATGCCTAGATCCTGACCCTTGCTGTCTGTCAAGAGTTTGGAGCAAATCACTTCTGCCTTAAACGCAGCTCTGAGCAGTCAGTGCCTGTCCTGCCGAGCCGGGCTCTGCCCCTCATCCAGGAGCAGCTTCGGGAGCAGGGGCCTTGCTTTGCTGTGCCTTTTGGTCACTGTAAATGTTTCTGTTGGTAATTATTCCTCGAGGAAGGAGGCTGTGAGGCCTGGCTGGAAGGCTGAAACACAGTTTGGAGATGTAGGACACAGGGCAATCCTTTTCCATGGGCTGGCGGGTGCCAGCGACTCGCCCTCCCTGAGGGCTCTATTGCCACTTCACACCCGTGTGACCCCCAAAGTGTCCTTGCTGACTGTTCCACTGAGGCTTGGCTTCCACGTGCCTGGTCTGGGGAGCGAGAAGCTGAATTTCAGTGGGACTATTTATCTGTGGCATGCGGGGTGTCTGCAGGGACACCCCCGAGGGAGCTGGCTCCCGCTCCCTCCCTGGGTGCTTTTCGGGGTGCTGCTGGTGCAGACCAGCCCCTGCTCCCCGCTGGTGCCGTGCGGGGCTGGGACCTGGGAGCAGCCTTCAGGGGGGCTACAGCTTCCAGAGTGAGCAGCTCACACAGCGGACCGAGTTGTGAATAGCCAACTTGCTGAAACTAGAAACAGAGACTCTTCCGCCTAGGTAAACCTGCTGAAAATCACTGTAAGATAACTGTAAAAACTTGTAGAGAATTGTTTCTTATCGCTGATAAACTAAAAGCACTTTGAGACATGAGTCTGTTTTTATGGAAAGCACTTTCTATTTTCAATGCTACAAGTACCACTGGTTCCACTCCAGCTTACCCTGCCTGGCACACACCTGGATGTGGCCTGCAAGCAGATCTTGCTCTACAATTCAGCTCAAAATCAGGGATAAATTTTCTTTCACAGTGGAATTCTCAAAAGTTATCTTGATATTCGAGTCATATCATTGACATTCTGTGTTTTGTGTTATTTCCAGCTTTACCTAATAATTTAACAGCTCTTTCAGATATCACAGCAGCTTTAAAGTATTCTGAACTTCACTTTGCTGTGAATAAAATTAAAATGCAAATACAATAATCAGTCCAATAGCTAATTCAAAGGGCATTTTTATGCCAGCAAGTCACAGTGACTTAGAAGATTTCCATTGCTCACCCCAGCCAGTATTGAAATAATAGGCTTTTAATATCTGGGTGTTGGTTTAAAAAAAATATTTATGGAGAAAAGTGACTATGGAGTAACTGTAAGGACATTGAAGTGTGCCAGGTGTCATTGGAATACCACCTGCTCTAAAACATGGAATTTTCTCCATGCAAGGAGCATCTTGAGCACTCTTATTCATCTGTAGAAGTAAATCCAAGATCCTCCTTGAGGAGCTTCAGGATCATGTTTTGGTATTGGATGAAGTTTTACCAGTTTAACTTGAAGGCAAACAAAGAAGTTTCTTTGATAATGTTGCAAGTTCATGGTTTTTTCTTCCTAATACTTTTTTTTCTTTAAATAATAAGCTATATTTGCAAATGAGCTCTCAAAAACAATTTTATGGCTGGGTGGACAATTTCAGCTTTTGATACTGACTTTGCCCAGAAGTGGGGAGGGCAGGGGGGTATGTGTGCAATGTTCCACCTCAAGAATTCTTCCAAATTGCAATCTACCCAAGTTTTTGTTCTTTTTAGAGAAAAATGTGACACTCCAGTGTTGGTACCTGCTTTAAATGTCACATTTACTACTTCACCCAGACACAGGATTCATGTGTAGGTGAAATACGGTCTTAGGCACATAGAGTGTCTCATTGCTAGCAGACATAGCTATTTTAATTTAGTATTAGAAGTGTGTTTATATAAGTGAGCTTTATAAAATAGCCACTCTTCATTCAAGAACACCATTCAGGGACTGCACAGGGGACTGAGCTGTCACTAAATCAGGTTGGACTGCTCCCAGTTGTAGGACTGGTTAGCATGCAGGTTTTCAGCAGTGGGGCTCTTCTGTTCTTCAAACTCTTTGGACTATCCCTGCTTCTTTTGAATGCATTCAGCAAATTCTGGTATTTCAGGAACAGCCCAGCATTGATTCTGGGGCCATTGTGACAAAGGAGCCACTGTCAGAGCTGTTGGCAGCCAGAGCACTTGGAGACAGAGTTAGATCTCTGAGGAGTGAGGACTGCAGGGATGGGGACGAGCCCCTCCTCCTGGGGCAGGTAACTGTGTCAGGTACTGGGTAAACTGTCCTCCCATTCCTGCTCCTGCTCCTCCCAGCTCTTTCACTACAGAAATTTAGCAACAGGGTAAGAAACAAAACCAGGGGGTATTAATGGGCAAAGCACCTGCCTCCGCCCAGTGCTGAGAGCAATCCCGAAGCCTGAGTGTGGGATTATTCTCACTTCACCCTCTCTGATGCAGGGTGGTAATTCAAGTCGTGATACAACTGAAATTATCCCCTGCAGCTGCCTCTTCTCACAAGTTCCTGCTTGGGGAGCGTAACAGAGCTTTAGGTGTAAAGTATTGAACAAAGTCTCTTATTTATGAGTGCCACTGAACACCAACCTTCTTGCATTAAACATTTCTGGATGTTTTATTACATGTGTGGTCTGACTTTCTTTAGTGTTGCTTACATGGTCTGTCTGCTGGAGGAGTGGGAAGTTTGCACATCCCTGAAAGGATGGGGAAACATAGCTCAGCAAGGGTTTGAATTTCAGCTTACCCAGGGCTTGGTCCAGTTTCTCTGGACGGTTGATCCAAAGCCTGTGGCCATTTCAGTGTTTTTAGGAGCCCTGTCACAGCTCTGTCACTCACACCCAGCTGGTTGGACAGGCTGGCAGAGGAGCTGCCTCTATAAATAGTCCTTGGGCTGGAGCTGCTCATCAGGGACGAAACTCTCGAACAGGTCCCAACTCGAACACTGTGCCCAAAACTGCAAACACGCTATGAGCAATGCAAGCAGCAACACCAAAGGCTTGGCTGCAGCGTGGCTGCTCCTCTGCACTCACAATTGAACTGATTTGCATCATCTCCTCCAGCTCTGGCTACAGAAGCAGGCTCTGTAAGGAGGGAAAGGGGCAGTGTGTGCCTGGAAGCTGTCGCTGGAGCCACTCTGGATGTAGCCGAGTGTCCCCAGACCTGGACGCTGCGTGGTGCAGGGACAGCTGCAAGGCACAACCCCACGGCATTGATCCCCTCCAGTCCTGGGGGCAGCTCAGAGGCAGCAAGGGCTGGTTGGGATTGCTGCTGTTCTGCCCCTGACTGCACTGCAGCCGTGCCAACACTGCCACAACAACCCTGAGCCGAGTGCACCCCAGGAGTGACTCCTGAGCTGCTGCTCCTCCGTGCTTACAAGTGAAAAACCCCAAGTGCAAGTGCTGGACACCCAGAAGTGCTGGACACCTCCTTCAGGCAGCGTGCAGAGCTGCGGCTGTGCTGCCCTGCCCTTGCCAAGGGCAGCTGCTGCCATCCTGTGGCACCACAAACACCTACCAGAGGCTGAAGCACCGATACTTGTTTGGTCTTTAATTGTAAAAGAGTTAATATAGCACCAATGACCTGCTCTCCCTACAGGCTTCAGCACCCACGAGTCTTTTGCCAGGGACTGCTGTGTTTTCCTCAGGTGTGGCAATATGAGGAACCTAATGTGGTTTAATGTCTGACATTTGAACTTTTGTTTTTAGCTCGGCACAATAGAACCCCAAGTTCAGAGTTCTGGAAAGAAAAACTTCCTGAAAAGCAGGAGCCAGAGCCTGCCTTGCACCAGTGCTGAAGAACTGTAGTACCCTGGCATTGAACAGGAATACGGTGAACATTTATTTAAGAACAGTTTTAATATCAGGGACTGAAAGCACAACTTGAACTGTGTGGATGATCTCAGCTGGCTCTTCAGTGCTACAGAAGTGGCCCAGTGGAACTCAAACCCAGTTACAAATGAAAACCATCTTCCAAGACAACTTTTTCAGAACCAGCCCAAGACCTGTTCAAGTACAGCATCACGGGTCCCCAGCAGGGGACTTGGTGGTTCAGGGGTATTTCTGAGGAAATGTGCCAGTTTTTATCATAATTTACCGTTTCTTGTCATACACTGCTCTAGAACAGAAGTTGCTGTGAACACCTGTATGACACAGGAATTTAAAAAGCAGCAAGTGAGGTTTACAAAGAGTATGAGAAAAGTACAGAGCCTGGGAAAGCTTAGTCTGCCGAAAAATTAATTGTGGGCTTTGCACAGCTAAACCTATGTGTAAGTAGAGATAGAAACTGGAAGCAGTGTACATTTAGGTGCTGCTATCATGCTAAAGAACTGGGGTAACATTCATTTCAACTGTGTTTTTGTTTCATCCGTCAGGACTTGCTTAATTCTGTCTAGGAAATACTAGGCCAGACCAAGCCATACCTAGAGCAGCAGCAATGCATGCAGAGCAGTGACTTTCTCCAGCTAAACAGCTGAGTTAGAAATGTATGTTCTCTACAGGTTGTGTGCAGTCTGCAGGGCAATGGGCTGTCCCCTCAGAGCCAGCACAAGAAGTCACTTGTCACAAGTGCAGGGATCTGGGTTATCACTAAGCAGAGTCTGCTACAGGAGCAAGCAATGACAACTGAAGTCCTTAGTCCAGTTTTCCCCCACATAAACCTTCTGTTCACAGGTCTTACCCTCAAGTAAGTTGCCTTCAGCACAGAGGAGATGGACCGTGGTGCCCAGCACTGCTCCCTGCTGCTGCCAGTGCCCCCTGGCACGCCAGGATCCCAGCACCATCCCAGAGGTGTTAACTGCAGGGCTCCAGCTGGGATCCTCGCTCTACAGCTGGCACCAAACGCTGCTATTGCACACCAGTGCACACCAGTGCTCACCAGTGCTCCTCACTGCTGCTGAGGCTGAACCCTCCCACCAGCCAATGCTGCTTTAAGGACAACCTGGAACCCTTCCAGCCCCCAAATCCCAGCAGGGCTTTTCATCCCACCTGATTCACAGAGCAAAGAACGTCCCTCAAGGGTGAGGCCCTCACATCTACCCAACAAGAGGCATGCTGCTAACCTCCCACAAAAGCTTCTATGAATTCCATGGGTAGTCTGGAGAACTGAGGAAAGAATCAAGTCTTTTGGACTTTATTTCTTTTTTCATTACACCTAATTCCCTGTCTCTCCAAGTCTCCTCTGTGCCTGAAGTCAATTTTTTTCTGAGTAAAACAGGAGAAGCCACTCCTGAGGAGATAAAGCTTGGTTTGTAACTAACTTATGCCTAATTTAAAATTACTACAGGAACCTTCCTAGCCACAAGCTTGGAGGCAGACAACAGACCCCACTCCAGCTCACACACCTGTGACTTCAGCAGAATCAAAGTGATGCCAGCAAGGAACTTGGACCACGAGTTTATAAAACTATTCTTTTACACAGTTGATTCCAGAAGCTTCACCAGCTGGTAGGGGGACAGTGTGATGTAAAACCTGATGATCCCATCCAACTGTCGTGAGCAAGGCATCATCTGAGGGAGACCAGGACAAGCCTTTTACAAAGTCCCGATGAGAATGACTTCTGAACCTGGAAAACACCAACATTAGCCATCATTAGAGACTATGTGGGCTTGTGCAGTCCCTAACTGCTAAAAACCCCAAGTGCAAGTTGGGGTTGTCAGGATGATGCTCCTCTATTTAGGAACATTTTCTCCTCCAGGTTGCCCAGAGCAGCTGTGGCTGCCCCAGCCCTGGAAGTGTCCAAGGCCAGGCTGGATGGGGCTTGGAGCACCCTGCCTGTGGCAGGGGGTGGGATGAATGATCTTTAAGGTCCCTTCCACCCCAAACCATCCTGTGCATTAATAATGAACTCAAGAAGACAACAGCAGTCAGGATTCTGTCTGTACTTACACCTCTGAGAGGTCTGAGTCAAGAACAGCAACTGAACAGTCTTCACTGATGGAAGCCAGTAAGGGTGAGCTAGAGTGAGATGAGAGCACAGTTAGAATATGCAAATACAAGAATTTTTAGGGATATACTTGTGAACAGCAGGACTCCTAGTGATCCAGACTGAGGTTCTGGATGAACTCACAAAAGTCTTACAAAAATGTTTTCACCAGCATTTGGCAGGGTGCCAGTACACTGAGTGGGGAATACTCAATTAGAGTCAGAAAACAAGTGATCCTTTTTTAATAAGAAGTGACTGTAATTAGAAAAATCCCCACAGTGTGTGGGTCAGTTATTCTGGAGCTGCAGAACTCTTGTTGTGGACATTCACATGTCAGACGTGAGACGTTGCTTGGTTTATTCTATTCTCTGCTACAATCTCCTTGATGAGAAGACCAAAACTGGCACTCTCGTAGGTTTTACTCAAAAATAACCAAGGCTTTTAACGGGATGCAGTGCCACGCTCTGTGCCAGAATCACTCCGTACCTGTGTGCAGAGAAAGCAAAGCCTGTGATGCCTCGGGTGTGCACAGCAGCGCTGAGGGCAGAGTCAGGATTCTTTGTGTCCACCAGTGCAACTGTTCCACTTTCATCACCTGGGAGACAGGGGCACCGGAGTTACAGGAAAAGCTGTCCTGTGCTAACAGCCACCTCCATTTGCCTGGTGAGAGTGCAGGTTCTTACCCAAGACAAAGATGTCACTTTTCTGTGGATGCCACATGACTGAGGTAGGGAGGTAATTACAGGCACTGCAAACTGTGAGGAAAGAAACTGGGTGAGCGTGGAAGGAGGCAGCACAAAGATATTCCTCATCTATCTCACTGAGCACTGCTACTGCAGCAAGACAAGTGTTTTAAGCTTATTGTACTTCTGTGACAGCGTTAGAGCTCCTTAACTTTTAACAGGCACATCACTAGATTTGGAGTTAGAAGTCAGGCATAAAATAATTTATTTCTCCCAACACACCCATGCAGAAGCAGTGACCACACAGGGACATACCAATTCGAGTAGCTGGTTTGGGGCATCTGGTGTCCCAGAGTAAAGTTCTGTTGTCCTATAAATCCAAAAGGAACAAGAAGAATTTTACCATTTCTTTGTGGCATAAATTCAGATTCACTGCTGACTCACAGGCAAAATGACCCTGTGTTTTCCTCTGGGTTAAAATGATGCTGTCACCAAGTGCAGCCTTCAGTCATCCCCAGGACAGACCTAGGAGCTCCCAAAATTCAATACAAACCTGTAGGAATCAGCTAGGCAAACTGATTATAAATTATCAGACTGGAACACTGCAATAACACAGGTAGCAGGTTGCACAGGAGATGGTTTCTAAGTGCATTAAACTGTCAATGCCTAAAGTTAAATCTCATTTAAATGGGGTAGATTTAGACAATAGAGTGAGCTTTACCTCAGCACAGGACAGGAACACAGTGTCCTTACCAGGACAGGAAGCCACACATGTCACTGCATCGGAGTGAGCTACCAAAAGCACAAAAGGATAAAGAGCCTCAAAGAAGGTATCCGACTTTCCCACATATTCCCGAGGCCCTCCAGAGGCACAGCAGTTTAACAGTTATGCCCAGACACGGGACAGCTGCTGCTAACTGCCTCCTACCACAGTGATGAGCTGCCCACTCCAACCATGGCCACAGTGCTTGTGCCAGCCCTGAGCTCGAGGGAGCCAGACAAGGGCTCAGGGAAAAGGTCAAAGAGGGATGTCAAGGGGATATAAGAAGGAGAGAGAGGGCTGGGCTGGCACTCACCTCTGTAGGAGTGCAGCACCGTTTGCTCCAGGATGTCCCAGACCTTGACGCTGCGGACAAGAGCGAGCAGTGAGTGCCCAGCACAGCCCGGGCACACGGCTGCCAGGCTGGCACACTCACCAGAAATCCCTGCCCCCGCTGACAGCCTGGCTGCTGCCGGCCAGCACCGACACCGAGGTCACGATGTCGTCGTGCTCATATTTACAGAACTTGTTCACGATGAGGCTCTCGTTCTCCTCCAGCTCCCACAGCTCCACTGCACCTGGGGGAGGCAGGGGGACACCCAGCTCAGTGCCAGGGA